TTGGTGAATGCGCTGCACCACTTGGTGCAACGCGTAGGTATTGAGGAGGAGGTGCCTGCTGAGCTGAAGGTTGCTTCCGTGCTACCACTTTACAAGGTCAAAGGGAGCAAGCAATGTTGTACGAATTATCCTGGTATTAACTTGCTCAGTTGTGTTGGCAAGGCGATTACCCGAATCCTGCTCAACATCCTTGTCAGTCAGGCTGTTGAACCTAACGTGGCGAAAGAGCAGTGCGGATTCCGTTCGGATAGCAGCACTATAGATATGGTGTTTGCAGCTCGTGAGTTGCAGGAAAAGTGCAGAGAACGACATCACCCGTTCTACCCGGTTTCTGTTGATTTCACCAAGGCATTTGATACGGTGATCCGCGAGGTATTGCGGCTGGTGTTGGGTAAGTTCGGTTGCCCGCGTAAATTTATATGTTTACTTGTGTCTGCACAGTGGTATGCGAGCGAGTGTGCAGCTGAGTGGAGAGACCTCGGATAACTTTGCAGTTGTCACTGGTATGAAGCAAGGCCGTGTTTTAGCTCATGCCCTGCTTAATATTTATCTTCATGCAATGATACCTTGTGTTTTTGATGCCGCTTGTGCTTACGGTGTTTGTGTGGAGCCCCGTTTGATGGTGGGTTGTTGAACATCCGTCGTTTCGGTGCGAGAACCCCAGTTTGTGAGACAACTATCCGTATGCTGCTGTTCGCTGACGACTGTGCGTTGTTTGCATACAGCGCGGATGAGTTGCAGCACATGACCAGTGCTCTGGTTTCGACAGCGGCCAAATTCAGGCTCCCCATCAACACAAGCAAAACTGTCTCTTTCAGCCTTCACCGGAGGTGTAATATTCAATATTGCCGCAAATCAGCATTGGTGCTGAAGTATTGGAAACCACCTCCCGCTTCTGCTACCTTGGGAGTGTGATGTCGACTGATCAGCGGATATACAGTGAGCTTCATATCCGCGTCTCAAAGGCAGCGGTGGCATTTGGGAAGCTAGAGTACCGAGTGTGGAACAACCATCAGCTTAGCATTGACACGAAGCTGATGGTGTACATATTCACGGTGTTGTCCGTTCTTCCATATGGCAGTGAAACGTGGATGATGTACTGGCGGGATGTGAGAAATATCGAGCGGTCCCATCATCAATGTTTGCGACGAGTTCTGCACATCGGTTGGTGCGACAGTGTTGCGGACACGGAAGTGTTACGCCGAAGTGTAATGTATGCAGTAGACTGCATACTTTTGTTGAGACCCCTGAGGTGGCTAGGTCATGTGAGCCGAACGGATTCGACGCGGATACCGAAACAACTATTATATGCTATGGATATAGCGTCTAGTGAGAGGACATCACCTCGAAGACTAACGCTTGTCAGTGACAGTGGAAGATGGGTGGTGCTATGCCCCAGTTAGTGTGCAAATGATGTAGCCCAACCAACTTCCCCCATGGCTCAGTGGCTTAAGCTGCTGGCTAGTCGGCATCTGCCTCTAGCGGTCATGGGTCCGATGCTACTTAGAGGACCGAAGGAATGTGCACCACTGACAAGTCCCAATAGGGCGAAACGCGTCTGGTACTTTTCCGGACTAGGCTCTGCTATGTAGCTTGTGAACTACTGAGATGAAAGCCTTATCAGAACTACAACTATTAAATGGTCAGCTGAGGATTGGGAAGTGGCATGTGGGGAAACCGAAGCTTCGTTACCAGGACATGATCAAAGTGAGCCTTTCACGTTCTAATCTTGATTACAGGTCATGGGAACGAGGGCAGTTGAGCTGTGTGCAAGGTGCGATCTAATCACAAAGGCGGTTGCCGTGGTGCAATAGAAAGCGCTCATGCATGCGCAGAAGAAGCGGCAAGTGCGGAAGGGGAAACCACCGATGGGTTGTACTCCATCGACATCGAGCGCATGGTGCTGTAGCACATGCGGTCGCGAGTGCCTGAGTCAGGCAGGCGCCTACTGAGCCATAAGCGAAGCCACCCGGGGCCAACAGTGAAGCGACGACGGGTCCTGCGGAGAACGTAGGCAGAACCGGCGCAGCTTTTGTAGGACGCTGCATTCGATTTACTAACCACGTGCTTGGATGCTGGGTCTCTTTATTTCAGGTGGTGGGTTTGCTATATTGTCTCATTATTGCGTACGTGAAGTGTCTTCTATTAACTTGCACACGTCGCTTAACTGTAGTTAACTTGGATAACATTTCCGCGTTTATAGCATTTTCTAAAAATATATTTTTTGACGTCTTGAAACTATAGCGAATAGTTTGGAAATTAATTTATTTTATATGCTCATTTATTAAAGAGCTATATCGGCAAATCTGTATGCATTATACGATTTATTTTATTTTGTCTTGTCGTTTCAAATGATTGGCTGTTGCTTGATACCCCAGGTGTGGCTGCGCTTGATGTGCATGTTGACAAGGTACCACTACCTCGTCCATACTGGATACAGTTGGTTGTTGCTGGAGGGGACAGGGTGCACGGTCCTTGTGATCCAGTTAGGCTCGAAGAGTGGTTCCATGCACTCAGTGTGAAGCGGACTATGGTCCAGCCACCGCATTGTGTGCGCTTGATTCCCCAAAATGGCATGCTTGTGTTTGTCTATGAAGGAATGTGGGCCGACTCCATGGATGAAACCTGGCTCCCATCCACATGCCTCCCGATCTTATTCTTTCGGGTTTACACTGGATATGGGGTGTGTGGTTGGAGCTGTGGGTGATGCAACGCAAGCCACCCATGGTACCTCTGTAGGCGCAGACGTCCTGTAGCTGGCCACAGTGACTGGCAAATCCGAAAACGGATGCCGCCAACACTCTGTGCTACAGATATTGTGCCATGAAAATCACGGCGGAATAGGAAAACAGGATAGGTATACAACAAAGAACAATTTGTCTAGTTTCATACTCAGATTTTTTTTGTTGGTTTGTTTTACTAGAGGAGGGAAAGAGAATCACCGCAACACGCAGTGGTGCACATCCGTCACTGTTGTCGGTCAGGAGCCATAACTTACAGGGTATCCAAGCAGCGACACTCTGGGACTTTAACTAGAGAGTTGAGAACAACCAGCGAGGCCAACAGTTTCGTCAGCTTTTTCATCCTGCTTCTCCAAGTCACGGGCCGTCCACCACGCCACCTCTAGTCCTGCGTAGCAATCGCGATTAATGCACGACGCGGGCAAGCGCAATAGGTATAAGCGAGCGTGATGATCTCCTCGATCGAAGTACTATCTCTACAAGTGGCGTGCCTCAAGGCACTGTGCTGGGGCCCACTCTGTTCCTGATCCACATCAACGATCTACCACAGCTTCTCCGGTCGCCGTGTGCCTTGTTTGCGGACGACATGAAGACTTGGAGAGAAATTGACGCTCCCGATGACTGTGGCCTACTTCAGCAAGACCTCAACCGCCTATCCACATGGTCTGCAGAATTTCTTCTCCCGGTCAACCCAGCCAAGTCTGTATTTATGAGCCTGTGGAAGGGTGCTAACGGCCGAAACTACACCCTTGACGGCCAAACGCTATATCCCACACCCTCCGTGAAGGACCTAGGTGTACTCTCACGCTACGATTTGAAGTCCGTGGACAACACGAACAGGCTATATCGTAACGGACTGCGCATGCTTTGGGCGCTCAAACGTAGCTTCGGCACATGGTCTGAAGAGGTTGCCACCCGCCTGTTCTCTTCTATCATTAGACCAATGCTAGAGTACGGTTCGCCCGCCTACTTTCCGATTACCCGAGGCGAGGCACAAAAGATCGAACGGGTCCAACACGTTGCTACCAGGCTTATCCCGAGTTTACGTGGCTCTGGGTATGAAGACCGGTGCGAGAAACTAGGACTCTACACCTTGTCCTACCGTCGGTTGCGAGTTGACCTCATTATGACCTACCGAATTCTACATCTCGGTGAGTTCCCCATGTTAAGGCCAATGCTGCACTTACGAGGGCCATGCAGTACACGCGGACACAGATACAAACTTGTCGTGCCAGATGTGAAATGTGTTCCCCACCCACTGTGCTTCGAACGGAGAGTGGTAAACATTTGGAACGGTTTGCCTGAACATGTGATTGAGGCAACATCTGTGCAACAGTTCAAAACGTTGTTGGATTTATATTTTGCCACTATCCGATTCAGAGAACGACTGCACACTTACGATGACATATCACATTTGTGAATCCTGAAATATCGTAAGTCGAATATTTTAAATATTACATGAGAACGACAATGATATTCACGGTTGACAACTTTTATAATGTTTTTCACAATATTTCGAAATAGTTGTACAGAATCCATTTCTACTTGTTCTATAATACAGTATTCAGATACGTTGTCAAACTGCAACATTGCTTACTCGGTGTAGCCACCATACACGGGCAATGGACCGCAAACTGTTATCGGATTCGTTTTCAATCGTGTAGTTAATTGCGGGATAGCTCATGTTCATCACGTCTGTGCAACACCTATGGAGTAGCGCCAACGACTACAAACGTATCGTCCATATAGTTGCTATAAAAGTGCGCATTTTGAATGTCGTTGAGCAGAACGTTTTATGTCAGTGTCACATAGCCATTGTACTAAAATGTGGAGGCAGTGGCGCAGTTCAATTAAGTTGCATGTATGGAGTTAGGGCTCCAAACCTTCAGCGGGTTATCATCGGTTATCGAACTGCGATGCGGTAAAGCCATCTTCGATGACTGCACCAAAATGCGCAAGAAGTGATGAGCAGATCAGTGGAAGATGAGCGCAAGTTGCCCCGCAGACAGTGCAAAATCCTCATGCGGAGTCCACATGGGTGGTAGTGGACTACACGTTAAGAGCATTCCAAAGCGTCGATGCGATCAGGTACCACCGCCTTCCTGATTGATGAGTTTTTACTACTGCGTCATGTGCCTTTAGAACAATATATCAGGGAAAAAACATTGGCTTGTATGACATTGCACATGACAACGATCTGGAAGTGCAGCAAATAATGCACGGTTAGAAAGCAGGCGACCCAAAAGTGCGAGAAGATAGTTGGATTAAAAGTACGTTTATGTGTATGATTAAAGTGGAAAACAAAACGTAGTAGTCATATGAATTAGAGACACAAGTAGCCTAGAAATGCAAACAAATGGTGTGGGATATCAAAGCGTGAATATTAGCAAGATGATGCCCGTTATCTACACGGGTGGCCTCAGTGCCCGGACATTGGAATTAGGGAGGACAAGTTTGGTTCCATGAAAAGCCACTGTACAATAATTGGCATTCTAACGGGCATCAATAGCGACAACGGTTCCATCAGCATCAATGTCAAACGGTTTGCAAACCGGCTCATCCATGATCAGCTCCGATTTTCTCAAAGAAGGATCCCCCCACGCAGCTGCCAAAGAGGCAAGACTTTGGGGTCGATGAATTTTGATGAGCATGTCGAGTCCAGCACGTAAGCGGCGAGCAGCTCGTAAACATCCCGCAGTTGCGCCTCTAACCTATGAGTTGTAGAAGAAAGTGTTACGATAAAATAACAGCGGAAAATATCGGGCAAAGGTAACGGCTGGAATTGGCGCATACAACAAGACCTATAGAGTTTGATCTAGAATGCAATGACCATTCGGGGAAGAGCCGAGCAGACGTATGATTGCGTTCTTACAGCGTTGAAGTATCCGCTGTAGAAATAAGCAAGGTTCAACAAGCCGACAACAAACCAACATAGAGAAAGCGTACTGTTTCCGAAGATGGGAGAATGAACACTGAATAGGCAGTATTCAAACAACATAACGTACGTGGTTAGTTTCATTGGCAGCATCCGACCAAAATTTGTCAACTTCTACAAGCCAATCATCTAAGCGCGTGAGGGGAATCCGACCACCACTGGGAGGTTTTTGGTCATGATCCTCTAAGTCGTCTAACTGCTGTACTCCACCTTCTTCGGGCGAGGCGGCCTCCTCGAGTTGCAAACGCAGTTCTGCCAGGCGGTGATACAGATGACCGGCTGGGCAATGGGGAACTGTGCGTCCAGGCGTGAGCAGAGGGACTGAGCATGCGGGACAAACGGAAGCCGTAAAATGAACGGCCTCGGCATGCACCAAGAGACCCATGAGTATGCGGCAACCAGCCTGGAAATGGGGGAAAGGGAAAGGCTGAATCGTGTTGGAATAACCAACTGGGCACCAGCTAGTTAAGTAAGTTAGCCACAGAACTAATAAGCAGTGATCAGCAAAGGATCGTAACGCTGAACCAGAAAATGCGAAGGAGAGCAAAAGTGGACGCATCTTCATGTTTGGATGCAAAGGTAGGACTGAGTTGCGGTGTGCACCGTAACGCAGGTAGATCTCTTAGGCACAGGTTGAGGTCGTAGGAGAGATTAGTTAAAGAAGCAAGGGTAGAATAGCCACAAAGCTTTAGACTAGAGTGAAAATTAAGAGTTGCACCAATGAAATGATGCACAACATAAGAGGTATAATTTTCCATGGAACATCGCGACTATGCAGAGGGACTTGAAAGGACAAAAAACAAAGATAAGTATGTGCACGGGAGAAATTAGCTGCGTCAAGGGCCAGTGAACGAATCAGAACCAATCTGCAGGGGAACCAGTGGCCACTTGTGTGCTGGCATCAATGGCGGATGTTAATGCTCATTTCGCCTGACGCTGTCCGCGTGTGCGTGTGTGCACTGGTTCTTCACTGCAAGATAACGTTTTAAATTGTTGCAGAACTTCATTTTCGACCGATTCCAGTTCCAGCCCCCTTGATATAGTCGCCATATATTGCCAACTCTATCTGGTGACCGCTTTTGCTGAAAACTCCTGTCCACTTTGTACTACTGGCGCAGCCACTGTAGATGTGCAACCGATATTAGCCCTGAACGATACGACAAGGGCATCAAGAATTTGGGAAGTAACATCAACAGCAGTACATCAGTGCTTTGCATGGATCGCACACGGTCATGCAATTTCAACTACCTACTAATGATAAGAGCAGGCACGCGAAGTAAAATCTAAAAGTACTGTATAAGTATTTATGATTAAAGCGATCAAAATCTCACCAACAACACATCATCATACGCAGCTAAGTATAGTGGACGAATGAACTGGCACCGATCGGATGGCTTCTCTGGGGTTTTCACTGTTCAGTGTGAAAATCAACCACCTCGCACGATTCGGTTGGCATCAAGCACACTTCATGCAAGTAGTCCGACTATGATATGGCAGAAGCCCAGATGGTACCGGTTGTGAGCCATAAACACCACCAAGCCAAGCACGGAAGAGCGAAGCGAACCAATGACACGCGGTTTGGTTACCAGTGGCTTCATTCCATATTGACAAGTTAGCGACTGCGCTCACTGAGGCCTACCTCATTCAACTTGGGGCAAAAAAGCAGGGTAGACCTGAGCAAGCGGTGAGTAAGCTGCTCGCCCAGTCTCGTTTGTTGAACCAGTGTGCGGGTAGCAGGGCAGCTAGCTGAACAACTGTGCGAGTCTAGAATGCGAATTCCGGTGATGTAGCACACGCTAACGGCAACGATATCCGGTGTGTGGCAGGTGTGATTAGTGCGCCTGTTTGTCCAACAGTACGAAAATTATATGTGGCTTTGTGACCGAGACCATTGAACACATGGATGCAGATTGTTAGATTTTAGTGGTACTGCAGAAGCCACCACTTAATTAGGGGAGCTTGCAATGGCTAATGAGAAAGGTGTTCCTTCTAATATGGAATAGATCCGCGAAACTTTTACAGATTTCGCACAAGCTCACCTCAGCCATACTGTCACGGCTAAAACTGTGTAGGTGACAACTGAACTTTCCTATGGACATTGCTATGCTTACCGCCTCAAACTGCAGCGAATCAACTGAGCTCTTCTCAGGACACTACCACTACGTGACAACTCATGTGCTTTGTCAACATCAATCTTTCTCCACAGCTTATACATTAAGCTGCCAGATGATTGAGTTATAAATATATAGGTGTAGAAAACGTGAATGTTCTTTGGGTGAGTTAGTAAACGAACTCTTGCTATCAGCTAGTCTCTCTTTTGAGTCTCATTGTAATTGTGTGAGTTTACACGTCTCGTCCTCAGTCGGTTTGCGTGTACCTCTGGCGGCAAGCTCCCTTAGACCGTACCGATCCGAATTCAATTGGCGAATCGGTGCGCGGGGTATTATCAGTGAAGAGGGTCCCGCCCGCTAAGACTAGCAATCGAAACAACTAGGACGTGTCACAACACGTTTAGCAGAAACAAGCAGGGAAAAAGAGGCGAGGCCTTGGGAGTGACCCGTTTTCACTCATACACCATGCTGTATTCAGCGAATAAAGCGACCTTTCTGGTGAGGCGCGACCTCCAATGCAGGATGGAATGGGAGTTTATTAGGAAGGTCATCATTGTTTACAAGGTGGGATACGGCCAAAATACCTAAACTTAGGCAGGAAAACAATCAGTTCTCAGATAAAGCCTTTGCCTCAATGGCCTAATAACAACACAAGTGCTGACAAGGCAGATGTCCACGAGATTGGCTAATGTACGTAAAGGAACGCAACCACAGCGTCAACTTTCAAAATGTAGGACCGAGAGACTAAGGTTGCACTGCGTCTAACAACTGGCTAAGTTGGTAGGTTTTCTAATGGTCTAAATTGTCATCAGATCAAATTGCGTAGATCACAGAGATACACAAACCGTTGCATCACGTTTAGGCCGAATCTTGCTGAAAAGAACTATCCGAGTTGATAGGCACTGTACATGCCATTTCATGGTGTGCCCCGTTCGAACGAGAATAAAACATTTATTTATTTATTTTATTTTGTACAAACTTTCGGGAATTTGTCCGATCCAAAGCTTTAGTAACATGTTCACACCTGAGCACCATAGGAAATCAGTTAACCTTGAAATTCAAAACAACGGGAAAATGCTGGAGGTGTGATGTGATCATTTCCTAGTGAAGATATGATTCGACTGCTGATGTGCCTGCTCTGAGTCCACTTGAGTGATTACAAGAGCAATGCACATAAGCTAGGATAAGGCTATCATGATATGGGAAAGGTGGGTTTGATACTATTTGACGTTGATAACAGCTGTCGATGGTTAGGTCATATTCCTTGAATGCCTTTCGGACACCTGTCGGTGTGCACTTCATACCCATACTATGCATGGCTGAGGGAAGTCTCAAGGATGTGAGGGGGTGGCATGGGGAAAGGATAGGTGGAAATGGATAGCGGAAAAGAGCAGCATCTCATCAGATGATGCATTCAAAATTAGCCACGATGAAAAAGCGAAACCAATGGTTCCTTGCATTATTGCCGTTGCTCCCATCAGGCATCCTTTCCATTTAACACACAAACCTGTTTTCTCGTTCTTTTTCACAGAAAGTTCGTCCTGCGTTTGGCGATTTATACTCTCAAACGGTCTCCTCCTCTACTTGATGTGATGAAGTCAATAATGCTGATTGGAATTATCGTCAATTGATATCCGCATCATAAGTGATTGGCTGGAATGAACAGGTAGCCCGTGGTTTAGAGGTCATTACGGATACACATCAAAGTAGCGCCTCGTAAAATTAGTGAGATGCAGTGACAGCTCATTGGTTCGTGCGCTTGGATGACGTGATGGCAAGACGTACTGGTGGTAATCCTACTTGATAGTAAGGCAACACAATCAGGAGTGGATGACGCGGAGTGATCTAGTGAGAAAGAAAAAAAGGAACAAAACATGGAAGGCACCCGTACCAGATAGTCCGTATGTGGCAATCGAGTGCCATCCAAATGCTCCACATGTGCAGCGTCTGCGGCGTCTTTGTCTGCACACAATCCACAAACCCAGCCGCTGACTAGCGAGACATTCGTCAACCGCGGAAGATGGCAATCCAGATGGTAGGCACGACGACACTTGCCACAATGGGCTAAGAGACCGGCGCCAAAACAAATGGCACATCCGACGCCACCTACAGGTTGCTCCGATGCGGAATTGGGGTTACGATTGCGACCATCGATGAGGGCCAGAGAGTCCAGAAAGTCATCATACTCCTTATTGTACATTTCGGCTTCACACTAGAAAACAAAAATAAGCTGTTAGATGCGTTCGTATGCAACGCATGCAAGATGAAAGATGTCCCAAGAGCGTAAAGGCCGTTTCGCTGAGTATGGTGGACACATACCAAATGGAGCACGGAAGACGATATACTGTAACAAGTTCACTTCAAAAAGGGTCATTATGAGTAAAGTAGAACCAATTTGACAGTAGGAAAAGAAATAATCTGTACATTTTACTTATGCAGCCAGCTTAAAAAATAACACAATAAAGATTGGGTAGGAAGCAGACGAACCTGTGGAGATATAGAGTCCTTTCCATTCTCCTGACTTTCAGCATCAAACGCCGGAAAGGGTGCTGTATGGTCGTTGAATTTCGAAATAGAGTTGGTAAGATTGTAGACTGGCAACCACGCGACAGTGCCGGAATGTTTTGCTAATTCCTCAGGATCCCAGTTAGCAATGAATATAGCCCTTGTGTCTGCGGTGGAGCGCCAGCCAAGGGTCTCCTTCCGCCAATAACTGGGGTCAGAGAACCCGTGGCTAGTCCCCAACTCCACTGCGTCAGCTGAAGCGGGTGCGTCAGTGAGAATTAGTTTGGCGCGGGTTTCAAGAAGTTTCATGCGTGCGTGAATAGCATCGAAAACCTGCACCAGGCTGGCGGGATCTGCATCCTTGTTCATTATCAGGCGATTAGCAAAAGCCAAAGTGAAGGCGATCTGGTTCTGAAAGGGAACAGAGGCGTACAAGTTAGTTAGCCCATTGGGAATAGTGGTAATTTTTTAAAGCAAAAATTTGCAGCAAATCGGTACTGGGCCTGAAGACGTTACGCCCCATGAAAACCGCACATTGAAATAACGAACAAGACGCATTGCACAAAGGTGTGAGGACCATCGCTAAACAGGTGAAATGATCGGTTGGTCACTTATCTGGATAACCACAGCACCCGCGGTTACCAAATTACAGAAAAAAGCATGCGATCATCCAAATGACTAGCGAGTCTGCTCAGAACATCATATATCCGTGGAGACAGTGTGTTACTGGATTATAGGATAAGATCAGTTTGCGGTGAGACCGGTGCCCGTGGAACACGCTAGAGGGGACCATGAATGAGCAAAGTAGGGGTCTGACAATAAGGGTGTAGCACTGGATGGCTCGTTGAACCAGAATTTTCCACGTTAGTTGGATCACGTTAGCAGACCGCACACCATGTGTGTGCTGCGTGTCAGTACCACACCCGATGAGCGGAGCCATAGTGCCGAATCAGGCGATATCATGGTAAAAAGGTAAAAAAAGAAAGGTCGCAAAACTTAGTACACCAGGTGGATGCAACTATCCTGTGCACAACATCTACGGTAGCGGTAAAATTTCGATTTGTCGCATTTGCAAGCCATCGCCGCTGTGGTGCTAGGCCGATTGGCTATATCCATTTATCTATTCATAGCACAACTATATAACTATATACATTATTTCACATCTCCAAACGCGTTTTCTGTATTCGCATTGTCTCGGTGGCAACGTGAATCGTCGTAACTGGGTACATCGGCCACTTGAGTGCTCGGGTCGCAGTTGACTCATTGCAATGAACTGATGAACCGACCGTCTTGCTCATGTGGAAGGTGAATAAAATTCGGAAAGCAGTCAATCTGACAAACACGATAGGACGACAGCAGGTTTTTCTGTAGCTTGATACAAATCACAAAAAATGGAAATCCCAGAGTAAAAGTCCGGGAGCTGAAAAAAGCAGTCCCTAACCGTAACTTAGCGCAGTGAGTAATGAAAAAACAGCCGTCAGTAACGTAACTTTGCATAACAAGGTAACTATATACATGCATCATGCGATGGACGAAAGAGCGCACATCAAGTGAAAAACCGGGTAGCTCTACCACACTGTAGTTACAAGAGCCAGCCGGTGTCCGAAAGGATCACACGTTGCCTTACAGTCCGGAGGTCACTAGTTTGAGCCTACGTATGAGATCGGGCGACCCTCGCAGTATCCTTAGCCCACGCGCGACTGGTGGTGGTTGAGTTGCAGTGAAGCGTCGGTACCGCGTACCGGGGCACTGGTTATGCCTTTGTTTCATTTTACAAAACCAGACGAAGACTTACGTTATCGATTTACCTTTGATATGCCATGTCTTGATGTAAGCTGGCTCCGTGACTGCTGAACTCTCATATACAGCTAAGGTAAAGCGATATTTCTCAAGGTATCAAGAGTTCTTCTAAATTCACGGAAACTTGTCAAAATTGTTCTGCTAAAATAGCGGTGGCTTTACTATATGTTCAACACTGTTTACCAACATCCTACTGCACAACTACACACATGAGCGGATGGAGTATATCTCTATCGGCGTCCGATATCACAATAACAGATAGCCTGCACAATGAACATCAATCACCAGTTCCAGAACGCTCCGCATCGTAAAATGGATGCAGTAGCGATGAACGGTACATCAGAGTCAACCCTAGCGGTTGTTTTCATGTCAACAATCGTTACAAGGGTAAGCGAAGAAATACTTCGTCCTTCATACTACAACAAGCCACAAGTTGTTGAGATGCTGACACTTGGCCCATCGGTAAGCAAGCTCGTATGCTTAGCATTTCGCTCAAATAGAGTACAAGTTGGAAGTGAACAGCGAAACTGAGAGGGTACTGTCTCTTCAACCTTTTACAGACCCAAATTTGTTTCATTCACCGCCGCAACTGCTGTTAGCGCTCTTCAGTGATGACAAGCTGTGGTAGAGTGGTCACCGAGAGTTCCGTTCAGTCCAGTCAAACAGTAGTGGTCCAGGCACGGAGGCGCGGTGGATCCGGTTGCCATGAGACGCTTCACTAAGGTAAGAATAAGTAACAATAACAACGAACAGGAAATAGAACATAAACAGAATACGAAAGGTGGTTCAGAGGCAATCGAGTGAAATTACTTACGACGAAGTGCTATAAGGGCTACATGCATAGAACCGAATACAGAAGCGGAACAGACTGGTGTGATCATCCCAAGGCTCCCATCCACGAAGACAGCGTTTACCAACCTCAGTCAATTTCTTCAGTTTTTCATGCCACCTGGTGATTTCATCTAACTAGGTGCAGCGGCAGCATATAATGCAGAGAGGATGGTGATCAACAGATATACGAGAGAACGTAAGGTGTTAAGATTTATAAAACACTCCAATGAAGAACCAGATGGCTTCTTGCCGGACACCGACTAGTAGACCTTAACATTGCTCACCCGCCGTTCCTCCATTACGCAAGCGATACACCAAAACAAGGATGATCAGAAATTGTTAACAGTTTAATGTCCACAGCCTGAAGTAGCCAGTTTCTGGTTAGCACAGTAACACAAGCATTGTCGCAGTGCCCATAGTTAGGGAAAAACTTGCGCTCAGAGCTATTTGCCTTGATGGCCTCAACGTCTTGCTTATACGACATAGTTCTGATATACAACCACCCGTCATCCTAAATACCTGCACTTTTGCTATGGATGGAAGCCCATTCACTGTGATCTTGACATATGCCGAGACACAAACGCAGCAGTATGCTGAAAAGTGTCGACCCAACGACCACAAGTCAAGTGCCTCAGGAGTGATACAGAGGATTTTCAAAGAGAAAGTGCTTGACCTATTGTTGCCCCACAATGTTATCCGCAAACCTAACCAGGGGGTTTTAAAGTAAAATCCTGTAGACGTACCACTTCGAAATCTTAGATCATCTAACTCTAAAAATAGACTCAGAGAAAGTGTTGACAATCGTTCGTCTCGATACGGAAGAGGCGTTGGACTGAATCATTCATAATCCCAACTCGTCCCCTTAGGTATTTGAGTGCAGTTCGGTCCAAATCATATCTCCGCAACCGTACTAGATCCTTTCAGTTAAATAACATGGAATCAAAGTGTAAACCAGTGGCTAATAGTGTTTTTCAGGGCAAGGTGCTCAACGTCTTTATTCAAAGGAAACCATTTCTGTTCGCTTTAAAGTCGTCTTCGCTTTGGATATGATCGAAGTATATAAAAGCAACAGTAATATGAGAAGTGACAATCAAGCTCTGGAACCCTGGTATGACACATGGAAGATGAAACACAAGTCCCCCAATGCATTCAGACGAAAGGACGTACTGCTCGCTAATCATAAGGAAGTATGGGGATCTAAGTGCGAACTACTCGGACTTCCCTGGTTGTGATGAACAAGCGAGCTAAACCGGCGAAACCCAGAGATGCTACTGACTGCGCTCCTAGATCCGTGACGTTTATGGAATGCGTTTGCTCTCCACAAAGTATGTACTAAGCCGTTCTTAGAATACTGCTCACTAATGTCCATTATCCTGAGAAAGTGTATCGTCCGCTCTGAACGACTAATGTGCTCCTCCGAGCTCAGCTATTGTGGTCGCTGCAAACTTCGTAGCTTGGAACTCATTAGGTTGCGTAGAAAAACAAAAACTATATTCTTGTTTCAAAACGTAAATGATCGTCACATGACGTAGACAGAACTACCCATCAAAGACTGAGCATCAGCCAATATCGCACCGGAATCGCGTTCCAACCATTGCTGTGAATATATAACTTACAAAACAACGACATTGAACCTTAACGTGGTATGACGGTTTGCGTACCTAAGTGAATCATTAAGCTATGCTGGGTAACACTTTCCAAATGCCTTCATAACCACTCATACCAGACAGGTAAACGTATAACAATACAATCTCCTTCCGATGGTCCTCTTCCCTTAAAATGTAGTCAGGGGAGACAACAGGTCTAAGGGTTATAAGCTCACAGTCCGATTGACATAGAGCAGAGCATCACGAAATACCTGACGGTAGGAGGGCAATTCTGGGTGCTCATTGGTTTGCTATAGCCCGTCTCAAGCTAGGCGGCCCCTGGACAAATTGGTGCAAACACGTCAACTCCCACCTGCAACTGGCCGTGGTCGCAGCTGCGTAACATGATTGGTGACATGTGATTCCGAACTTGTCTGTCAATGCAGCCTACATTGGACAGTCACAGAACGCCTGCGCCTACAGAGGGACCATGAATGGCTTGTGCTGAATCACACCCATCCACCCATCCCATATTAATTTTAAACCCGTAGGAATAAAATCGAAAGGCACGCGGATGGGAGCCGTTTCATCAACGGAGACGGTCAACGCTCCACTAAACATGCACGGCGACAGCATTCCTGTCTACCTAATTTGGTAATCATCCGTACAAGACGCACACAAAGCGGTAGGCTGGCCGTGGCCCCTTCCATAATGGATGCATGAAACCGCGCTTTGAGCATAGCACAGTCACGAGGACTGTGCAATCCGTCTCCCAAATCAACGACCAACTGTCTCCAGGAGGCAGTTAGATCGAGGTAGCGGTTTTTCGATAGGCAGATACCTTGACAACATTCGCATCAGGCGAAGCCCCACCGGGGATATCAAAGGGCAAAAGATGAAATGGAGAAAATAGATGCGCAAACTGGACATAAAACATGTGGCAGTGTAACAGAATGAAGGGTGAATTGGGCAAGTGTAATTTATGGGATATCAACCGGATAACACCGAAAGTCAAAAAACGCGCAAAAAACAGACAATGTGTGGAGGATTAACAGAACTGAGCAGATAAAAATATAGGTGCAATGCGAAACAAGCGTAGGTGTAGGTAACTCGTCCAAATGCTGTGAAGTGACAAAATAATGCGACATCAACCGCATCATGAGGCAGAGGTGTGAACCATGGTTGGAGGCATCC